GCATTTTCGAACTTTTCGCCCGTCTCCCTCGCCCGCCATCCGTTATTCTTCTTGGTCTTACTGGCCTGCATTGCGCACGGGCCCCGTCGTCACGCTGGGATGCCCCAACGCGGTAAAGTTCGCCCGAAATCTTTCTCCACGTTCCTTTCCGCCGGAGACCACTTCCCTCGCGCCAAGTTTCTTCATTATGCCAATGACCCGTTGTGTCGTATCACGTGAGAAACTATAGCATAAAACGTCGACTACGTCGCTGGCCCGTATAATTGACTCTATATAACGATCGTTGAAAGATCGCTGAATGAATAGTCGCGTATTATACTCATGTATTGATTTCTTTTTAATTGCTATTTTCTTTGTACAATAAACGCATACTTATAGATATATACATATAAATGAAAGTTCAAGTAATCGTTAATCCATTTTCGATTAATAATCCAGAAATTATGATTGATATATATTCTGATATAAACGAGAAATTCATTATGCGTCCAATATCGATAATCTTACCTTCCAATAATAATTAAATGCTTTCCATTTAGTTACACAAGTCAACACGAATATCATTCTATCTCTCTTGGCATTCAGAGAAGAATAAAAATAAAATGACACTTGTATCAACTTGTGTCATCAAATAGAAAGCACCCATGCAATATTTCGGAATTATTTTTACATGAATGCGGAAGATTAAACATGTTGTTTATTGACTTATGAAGATCAAAATATTTACATACAGCACGACATAATATTGATGAGGTTTCATTTATATAATAAGATTTTCATCGCCAAATTGTCATTTCGAGTATACATCAATCATATTTAATCTCCGACATGTCGAATGATAATAGAAAACGTACGAAGAAATACATAAGGCTACTATTAATGATGTATCGTAGAATAGACGATTGGCGAACATAATAAACGTACAAGCTGCTTTGAATCCTATAGAGGTTGATAATTGAACCCCACAACACGAGCTTTAGTTCGAATCCTCTGGCTCTGAACTCTATCTTATCAAGTCTCTGGACCGAGGTGTCCAGAATAGCTCGAAGTAACGAGACAATCTAGAAACGCGATTTGGCTTAACGACAAGAGCGATTTCCAATCATTTCTGGTATACAACAGAAAGAGAAAATCGCATGATCAAATTACCGGGATGCTCCAGTTATCTCTAATGAAAATCCCAATAACGATTTTATCCTCGTTATGTCAGCTAGGAAATTATAATTGTCTGTATATCGGTTTAGATGTAAGAATGTTTAACGATATCTCGAATCTTTTATTATATCAATAATCCAGGATACAATACATCACGATATCATGTAATTCAAACAATCAGTATTATTTCATTGTTATGTTAACACGATTTCGCGAGTAGATTAAATTTTCTCATACGTTTCATTTGCAATCTTTTTATATACCAGTACGTTTTCAAAAGCAAACGTCGTTTATGGGCAAGCAAATAAAACGTAGATTATCACAAATAACACAGAAATTGAGTGCTGACACGTGAGAATGTACATAGTAAAACGGCGTCGTGTCGGACCCGCCACTACGACCCCTTCATCGATGTTGAAAGGAACCACTGTGGCCATAGAGTCAGAGGATGAAGACCTCAACAAATGCCGAGATTTGGTTGCCTCGGATGATGGATGTGATCTAGCCTGAAGGGGGAAACAGTCCTGGTGAGCAAAAAGAGCGACGCGACGTACAATAGGGGGAAGGAGAAAGAGAGGGAGAAAAAGAGAAAGAAAGAAAAGAATAACGAAAAGACGACATCGATGATGAAGATAGAATCGACGCAGGAAAGATGTACATGCATACAGGAGGTAGAAAAAGAAAAACAAGGAACAAGGATTGGCACTGTGTTGCCAGAGATTGCACGAAATTGCGAAAGACGGAGCCCTCTGCGAAAAGAGAGATTCCGTCGCGTCTCGCGTCATCAGGAGGTGGATACGTTGTGCTGTCGACGAATGAATGCAATTTTTCACGGATGCTATGAGGGCGGAAGACTGCCGGAAACCGGAAGCGGGATCGGCGAGTCCGCGTAACGCGCGAAAGAGAAACAAAGCTTCGGCCGGACGCACGTCTCGCGCGTGTATTCGCGAACAAAAAAGCACGGTCTTATCTCACTCACGACGGAGAGAGATTAATGCCGTTTGATGAATCGCGATGTCCCTCCATGCGCTGTCGCGTATAATTGCGGCCATTCTTCACTCCTTACACGAGTAATATCTGTGCCATACTATTGCATATTTACCTCTGTACGACAAAAAGTACTGAATGATTCGATTGTACCGATAATTTTTACCGATAACGTAATTGAACATTTAATATAATTGCGACATGTTCAACGTAAACGATCGAATTCGATAATACATCAATTTCTCTAGCCTGAAAAGAATAAATCAATTCTTCAAATTAAATATCTATTTTTTTACCTGGCTTATGTTCTTGCTCAGTACAGACAAAATTTGACCGTGATCTTCTTTAAACCGGTATTACTAAGTAAAAAATGTACCATGGTTATCAAGGGGTTTATTAAAATTCAGTTAAAAATCTAAAAACTTAAGTCGTAATAACATGAAATTTTGTAGAATATTTTAAATTAAGCTGTCCCCCCTTTGATCCAAATTCAACGAAATTGTCAAAATTTCAAGTTATTAAAAAATGTTTTATCACAATGGTACAGAACACAGTTAAGTACAAATAATTGTGTTTATCACAGTACCTGGAGGTTATCATACTCTATCTTAATAATGAATGACGGATTAACAAAAAGTACATTGTTACTAGGAAAAAAACATATGTATAAAAACGTGAATGGTCAACAGGAAGGCGACAGGTGTACCAAAACGATAAAAATGATGAAGATATAAAATAGAGAAGAAACAGGCAATGGCGTAGATATTACATCAAAGGCTACATCGTCAGAAGCGGAAGTGATGCTTATTCAGTTGGAAGTTGTGGCTTACTGGGTCTGCAAAAGATAAAAAAAAGACAAAGAGAGAGAGAGAGAGAGAGAGAGAGAGAGAGAAAGTTGAAGAGGTGAAGAGAGATAACCTGCTGCGCTTGTGAACAGAAAACTAAAGAGGAAGCAAGAGGAGGAAAAAGAGGAGGAGGATCTATCGGCCGGAAGACGTAGATACTTTATCCACGCTACCTACTACGACCGCGATAGATAACTCTCTAGAAAACTTAGTAAAACCACTTTAGTTTGCACATTGGTCGCTTATAACGTGATTCTACCCTTCCGTTCGGAAGCTCCTAATCATGATCTACGACAGATAGATATTACGTATTCCTAAAAAGTAGATTATTTTGTTCCGTTATTCCTTACAAAAAAAAAATCGTAAAAATTCATGCTATCCGATATACGAAATGATATATCTAAAAGAAATTTTTCCTCAATATTTACGTTTGATAACGTTTATACAGTCCAACGCAAGTTAAAGAGGATGAAAAGAAGACAAACAAAATGCAAGAAGAGAAAGGCAAGAGAACGCGACCGCTGTTGTATCGAACACAGTCATGAGTGAATAATTATTATATCGCGTGAATATCCATACGGTTGATGTAATTAAACGTCCAAATGCCGCGTTAGACTGTCTAAAAGATCGGAATTTCCGATAGCTCGTTAAAACGCTGGTGGTGCGTTCCGAGAGAGGAGAAACGAGAGCAAACGCACTCGGCTGTACCCGCTTATACCGCCCAGCTGGTGTTGCGAGGCGTGATTAATACCGAAATACGAATGACTTTATTCATGAGGGACCCACGCCTTGTTATGCAGATCAAATTTATGGCTAAATCATATGGTGCCCTCGCGGTCGTCAACGTTACTCTCTTCGCATTTCGCTCGCGGCGGTGGTGCGAAAATCGGACTAACGAAGCTGAATGCGAATGCGAGGGAGAAAGAAAGCTACGCAGACAGGTGGCTATATTATGAACACGCCTTAAAGTAGCTTTCTAACGGACGCACTGCAACACCAGTTCTCGCTCTCCCATTCTCTATCGTTCTCTTCCACTTTGTCTCATTGTTTTTCTCTCTTTCCGCCTTTTCCGTCTGTCCTCTTTGTCGCCTATCTCTCCCACCGGTACTCTACGGTATGTCCATCTCTCCTCGTTTTCGCTTGTGCCGCCTTCATCGTTCTCTATCCGGCTCGCCGGCACGTCTGCCCATTCTCGGACCAGTAGCGAGATAGACGTTTATCTCTCGTTTCTACAAACTGTGCTCGCTTGTGTTGCAAGGCAGGGGAAATTCAAGCGATCGATAGGATACCGCATCAGAATCACTCACAGACGAGCGCTCATTTCTCTCGCATTCTTGCTGCTGACTGTAATGTTGCAGCGAGACGATCGCCGTTTCTCACACGTTGTGTTCCGTATTTTCCAACTATGTGTTTTTTTCAACTATTCGCGATATTATACTTCTTTATGTATACCGCAGATTCTTAATTTTCAAGCTTGTACAGCTATCTAATTAATATATTATATTACGCGTTGAAATTATAAATGTTTATGAACAAATCCCAGAACCTTTGTCCAATCATAATATCGCGTAATTCTGAATATCATTTCGTTTAATTCCCTATTATAATTAATTTATATTTTTCTCATCTCTCTTTAAGCCATACCGAACGTTGATAAATACCAATCATTTATCAGGGAGCTCGGTATGCTCTGTCGGAAAATATATAATTGCGAAAAACCGGTCACGCCCTTTCAACCGGTTATTACGCTAACGAGCCCTCAAAGGTAGAATATCCAATACATTAAATTGAAATTTATCATCAGCACCGCCGTGCTGTCAGTATCGTTGCATTAAACGACCGTGGCGATATAACGACGTTATTTATTATACTCGTGATACCCAATTGAAGAGGCAGTAGTCTTTGCGATGTTGAAACGATCGGACTTCTTTATATGTCTTTTTTAGATATAAAATTGAGATAAAAAAGGTTTATTTAAGGATTCAATTGAGAGTACATTAAGCGATTACTCACCTTCATGTAGTTTTTCCAAGGTACCTTCAGCCAGGACTCCCGCGAAAAAGAAGCAGAACCACAGCAAGCCGATCATTCTTCTAATTCGATTTCTTGACGTATCCATTCTGTTAGCACTTAGATACTGTAACAGAAATATAAATATTGTTAATGCATGCAGGTTAATAATATAAATGTAAACATATACAATTGTATGTATACATATCGCTCATTTGCTACAACAATGATACAACTACAAAAATTATCATTTTTAGTTGTTCACAAAAAAAGAATGGAAACATAAAGAAAAAAACATACTTTAAAAGTACATTTTTTTCCCTTTATAATCAGTTATTATATCAAAACTATATTTCAAAAAAATAAAATTACAAAATTTTAATAATTCAATGTATTGAAACTTATATTTTCTAGAAAAATGGTTTTTTTTTTTTTTAAGTTATATTGTTCACAGAGAGAATTTTCTTTTAAAATTTATTCTGAAAATATGGTAGTTGTGATACAATATTGTATATAATATGCACTTCAGTAAAATTAATCAAACTTCTTTTATACTTTATTGTAGTTTTATTAATAAATGAGAGATTTACATTAAAATTCTTCGAAATACAATGTTGTTACACGACTACCATATTTTCAGGTAAACTCTAAGTAAAAATTCTCTCCGTGTTGTTATAGCAAATGAGCAATATATATTGCATAACATTCTAATCAAGTAATTATATCATTTTTATAATAATATACACTGGGAAAAATGTTTTGTAACTTATATGTAACTTACAGAAACTTTCTTACATTTTAATTTAAATGTTTTGCTCTAATTAAATTTTGATTAAAACAACAGAATTTTTAAATTAAAAAATAAGAAAATTTTTGTAAGTCACATATCATACAAAATATTTGTCAGTATATGATACAAAATTTCGTTTCTACAAGTTTCAACTCCTTTCACGAAAGAAAACGCTCCCACAACTCACAAGACTGGAAGTTAGTAGAGGCGAGGGCAGAAGTTCGGGCGCGACAGATGCGTCTTAAAATACAGAGCAACACGATTAACTGGATTATAAATATATACTGACGTCCGTCTAGAAAAGAGAGGCAAATCGATAGTTGGCGACTCGCCAAGATTCTCCGTAAAGTACTGCGCGTGTACGGGCAATTAAGGGAACGCTCGATAAATCGCGAACGCGTACATGGTACATCGAGAAGAACAAGTTTTCGGACATGGTATGTAACGGCGTAACGGCGTAACGTAAACGTAATGACAAAACGTTAACGGGAATGGTGGCGGAGGTTGTTAACATCGGGCACGGGCAAATATGTTTTTATCGTCTTGCTTCTCGAGTACGGCGAGTACTTCGGCGGCGGGCGGGAAAGTTCCGGGGAAGTTCGCGCTGCAGTATCAATAACCAGTTTTCCGAGACGAAAAACTATCCGAGTCTCTTGGAACCGCTGGCGGATATCCTTCCAGGGATTCTCCTCCTTCCTCTGGCGTAGGAACTGTGGAGCTTCCCTCGCAAGCTTTTCTTATACGGCCGCTCGCGCACGAACGGGAGAGGAAACAAAATAACGAATGGTACTAATAGAGCGTTCTTGGTCTCCAGAAAACTTTTCTACTGTGCCGCTGCAGAGCGCTGTAGCCACGGTATTGGTCGAGCAGTGCGTCGTAAATCAAAAGTTTCTCACCTACAGAAAGAGAGAACGCGACTATGTATATAACGTTACTGTGCGCAATAACTGTGTTCTCTGGCGCTTTTTTTTTTACCGGTGCAACAAAAATTCAAACAAACGATACTAAATTAAGAAGTTTCATGAAGCTGGTGATGATCACTACAAAGTAGCTAACATAATCATTGAGAACGAAACGCAGTATAATAAAATTACAAGTTTCACATAAATATATAGAGTCTCCATCTCAATATAAACACAACAATAAAAATATATAAATAAATAATTTTTGCAATATCATACGACAAATGTTCGAGCTTGCATAATTCTTTTTTAAAAATTCGATATGCGTGGAACGTAAAGTGATAAAATGCAGAGATTAAAGCGCACAACGGTAAATTTACTCTTAATTATAATGCATCTGCTCGTATAACAGAACGGTGAAGGGAATCAAATGAAGAGAAAATCGAAGTACCATCTTCAGAATTTCCCACCGGTATTCCCGCGACTCAACGTTCTCGGTTTCTCAGGTCTTGAGTGTGCTTTCGAGAAGCGATGCACTCATGGCATACTAAAACGCCTCACTCAATCAGTTCAGCTTTACGCAAAGCGGCATTTCTAGGACGCTCGTCCTTAGATCTGTAATTTGCGCGATGCCCTCAAAGCCGGGCTCAGCTGTCTCTGTCTACTTTAACGATTTCAAGTACATCTAACCGGACATTCCTTTGGCCGCTTACGGCCCGTAAGACTTATCGACAAACGCTATACTCAACGTTCACGCACAGAAGGGTGTATCTACACTGTATCGGAAAACGATTTCTAAGGATCCTTTATACTAAAGATCCTTTATATTGCCTGCAATGTTGACGAGAATTACCTCGTAATGAATAATCAAGATGAGCATCATTACAACTACTATTAACATTTGAGAAGATTACAGAAGTAAATAATTCACGTAAAGTTAACTAAAAACAATCCAAGAGAGCTTCCACTTAAAAAGAGCCGTAATTATAAGCCTTTAAGCATTATGATGTTCTGAGACGCCAAAAAGTCATTTTGAAGTTACGATATTTAATTACTCCGGATACAGACGATCTTACTGATAAATTTGTAACTCGTGTTAATTGATTAATGGAATCGCGACTTTGACGGTAGTAAAGTAATTGGGAAAGGATCCAAGGCCTCAGGCAGAACGCCTTGAGCAGCAATGGCCACTTAGCCACATTGCAACAGGCATTAGCGGTAACGAAGTTAACGAGAGCTCGGTTAAACCGATTTAGAGGGCACGAAGACATGCCAGGGGGCGAGAAGCCTAAAATCCGACGGTCTTCAGCTAAGCCTGTCTCCTTGTTGGAATTAGTAACTTCTACAGTGATCTTCCTTCATCATCTTTACTTTCCCTTTGTACTGAGCGGTTTCTTAAACTAAAAAATCTTTGGTAAATAATCTTTTCGCGATAATATTAAAGATGTGTCCATATGACATTAGGAAAACTGTATTCTTAAGATTCAACAAATCTTTTGATTGCACATCTATATATTATAGCTATCCATGCATGGTTCAATTCAACAGTTACCTCTACTTTCTGTATGTCTGGATATATATTATTGAATGCAACCCTCATTGAATGTCTGTTGATGTTTGCATAGAGATATGACTCGTTGAAACTAGATAGCCCAAGTTTTTAATTTGCTCGATTCTGATTCTTCGTCTAGTGGATACGAGGAACCTCTCCGATTTCAATTTCGCCACGAAGAATCCCCCTCGACTCAACCCGTTATAGAAATGCCGGACAAGAGGGAGTCCTCGAGTGCACTCGAGACTGAAGGACGCTCAGGATCAATATTTATAATCTAGATTCTAGATGATCAGAGGTCTGCACCGTCCATGCCAAAATGTACTAAACAAGGCCCGCAGTCAGTTTTATCACGTTGGAAATTTTTTAGATTGCCACACTACAAGTGAAGATCGCATCACTAAAATGCACAAATTACGACGTAAAATTTCTTACGTGTCTTCACATATCAAATTATATATAACTTATAGACAGTGAAAACTGACATTTTATTCAATTCCTTATCGGAAACGCTGTTTTTATCGTTAGACTTAACCGTTTAAAGCTGCCGACGGCGAGAAATGATCAGCTTTGCTCTCTGAGAACACGCAGGTCCCATTAACGGAATCACAGGGGCATCGGGCCAGAGCAGCTTGCACACCGTGCACTCGCGATCACCGTGCTAACATGCCTCCAAACGAGCTTCCTCGAGAGCTTTTTATTTTGTAAGGAACGAAGGAAGAAAAGGTGGCTCTAGCTCGTTAGCCACGATTACAGTGGAAACTACGGCGGGAACACCGATCACCGTTATCCACCGCTATCTGCGAACAGGCATGATGGTAGCCTCTGTGGAATTTGCGAGTAGCCGATAGTTGACTAAGATGTTCTATCTACCAGCAATTTCACCCAGACGCGGACAATCGGCTAGATACTCGGTAGTTCGATGGTTTCGACGGCGATCGCGTACGTTCATCATGGCAAAGAAGACGGCGAATAAGCGGTTCAATAGCTCAAACCCTTTGAAGTTTCTAAAAGCTATCTCGAGCGTGACGAGATAGCTTTTAGAGGAACAACCTTTGTGGCTCAAAATACAAATCCGCGATATAGAAAAACTCTAAAAGGTGCAATGGAGGAAATAAAAAGTTTCTATCTTTAATAATGTAAATTAATTAAAATACAACTGCATTAATTCATTTAAGCAATTTACATAGGATTGTAATTTCTTTCTTAAAAATAAATAGCGTTGTGATGCTATTCCGTATTTATAATTTTTATTGTTAAAAGAATGCTTCAATAATAGAACGATTAAACATTTTTAGCTGTCAATATTAGTCGAACAATCAGCTAAAAACGACAATATCAGCTAATATCAGTCAAAAAATTTATAGGGTAACTCCGGTATATGTATACGCCGCACCTATCAAAAACTTAATTTATTAAGTATTATTTACTATGTTTATAGTAAACGAACTAAATACAATATAAAAAATTTAATTCAATTTTTTTTTAATGCTATGATCTTATTAAATTTGAAAATAAATGTTATAAAATTATTATGATTTTACAAAAAAATCAAGGCAAACAGAAAAATGAAATAACTTTTAAACTAATAAGAGAATTGTTTTCATGTTTTAAACAAATACTCAGACATAACAATAAAATAATTAACGAAATTTCTATATTTATGATAATGCTCTCAATTGTGACACATATACCTGTAATTGCAAAAATCAAATATTCTAAATACTTCAAATTTTTTTATGACAATAAAAACGTCATTGTTAATTAAAATATTATCATTCCCATCATATCTTTTTCATTTAATCACACTTAACTGTCTATAATATTACATCAGCATAAGAGTCCCGTGACTTACGCAAACAGAAACTTTGTTGCTAAGATCT